TCATACAGTCATTCACTATATATATATATATATATATATATATATGCACTATAGTCATGCACTTTACACACAGGCGCACACACACACACACACACACCGCACACACAGGACCTCCCCAAGGACCAAGGACCCAGCAATTTTATGGCTAGGTATATGTCCACGAGAAATAGAGAGATGAATGTATTTATTTTATACACACAAAAGCATTTGAACTGCTGGTACTCACGACACCATGGAAAAATCTCAAAAACATGTTGAGCTGAGGAAGTCAGGCACAAAACTGTACAAACAGTATGGCTACATTTATATTAACTTCAAAAACAGGCAAAACTCATTTTTGGTAAGGTTAGAGATCAGAATAGTGGTTGTGTCTGTGGAAGAGATGTGTTGGCTGGAAAGCAGCAAGAAGGAATTTCTAAGGTTGATTCTCTACATTTTGAAATGCTATTCTGTATCTTGATCTGGGTGTTGATTACACAAGTTCATGTGCTTTCAAACTCCATGAAGCGACATACTTTTATTTTTATTTTTAGACACAGGGTCTCACTCTATTGCTCAGGCTGGAGTTCAGAAGCATAATCATAGCTCACTGCAACCTTGAACTCCTGGGCTCAAGTGATCTTCCCACCTCAGCTTCCTGAGTAGCTGGGACTACAGGCACATGCCACTATGCCTGGCTAATTTTAAAAAATATTTTTATAGCGATGGGGCCTCATTATGTTGCCTAGGCTGGTCTCAAACTCCTAACCTCAAGTGATCCTCCCACCTTGGCCTCCCAAAGCACTAGGATTACAATCGTGCGCCACTGTGCCTGGTCTGACCTGCATACTTTCAACTGATGCATTTTATTCTATGAAAATTATCCCTTTGTCAGATGGATAGATCGCAATTTTTTTTTTCCGATTCTGTTGGTTGCTGGTTCACTCTAATGATAGCTTCTTTTGCTGTGCAGAAACTCTTAAATTTAATTAGATCCCATTTGTCTATGTTGGCTTTTGTTGCCATTGCTTTTGGTGTTTTAGTCATGAAGTCCTTTAAGACATTTATGCAGCCAACAAACACATGGAAAAAAAGCTCATCATCACTGGTCATTAGAAAAATGCAAATCAAAACCACATTGAGATACCATCTCATGCCAGTTAAAATGGTAATCCTTAAAAAAATCAGGAGACAACAGATGCTGGAGAGGATGTGGAGAAATAGGAATGCTTTTACATTGTTGGTGAAAGAGCAAATTAATTCAACCATTGTGGAAGACAGTGTGGCAATTCCTCAAGGATCTAGAACTAGAAATACCGTATGACCCAGAAATCCCATTACTGGATATATACTCAAAGGATTCTAAAACATTCAGTTATAAAGACACATGCATGCATATGTTTACTGCAGCACTGTTTACGATAGCAAAGACTTGGAACCAACCCAAATGCCCATCAATAATAGACTGCATGAAGGAAATGTGGCACATGTACACGTGGAATGCTATGCAGCCACAAAAAAGGATAAGTTCGTGTCCTTTGCAGGGGCATGAATAAATCTGGAAACCATCATTCTCAGCAAACTGACACAAGAATAGAAAACCAAACACTGCATGTTCTCACTCATAAGTGGGTGTTGAACAATGAGAATACATGGACACAGGGAGGGGAACATCACACATCAGGGCTTGTTGGGGGGTTGGGGAGCTGAGGGAGGGATGGCAGGGGGTGAGGGATTGGGGAGGGCTGACGTTAGGAGAAATATCTAATGTAGATGACAGGGGGATGGATGCAGTAAACCACCATGGCATGTGTATACCTATGTAACAAACCTGCAAGTTCTGCACATGTACCCCAGAACTTAAAGTATAATTTAAAAAAAAGAAAATTATATCTCAATAAAATAGAGTTAACATAAAAAGTTAAGATTTGATACAACTGGGTAGCTGCACGAATGTTCACTACTTTATCTATATACTTAAACTACAAATGGATCAAAAATTCAAATGTGAAAGTGGAAGTCATAAATGTACTAAAAGAAAATGTAGGCAAATTATTTTACAAATTCAGATGAGGAAGGCCTTTGTAACAGTGACTTGAAATTAAGAAACTGTTAAAAATTTGATAAATTTGACTCTATAAAATAGCAGTGTTTGCAATAGTCCATAAGTTTGAAAATGCATTAAAAAGACTGAAAGGAAATACATCAAGAGGTTAGCGTGAAATTCTTTGAATTTGTAGTTATTGATGATTGTTATTTTCTTATTTATGTTTTTATATACGTTTCACAAATTGAATGTATCCCTTTTAGAATCATCAGAAAAACTGACTAAAAAACTAATGTTTCTGCTTCGTTAGTTTTTCAGAGTTTTTTTTTGCTTCCATACCTTTCTATCTTATAATTTTTATTCTTTTCTTCTTGTGTCTCACAGGAAGACTTGTTCCTTCCTTCCATGGCTGATTCTGTTTTGATTTCTTCGGGGCAACATGTCATCCATTATGCTCTCCCCTTTTCTTGCCTCTTTCATGTCTTCTTTACTGTTGGATCATTTTTTCTTTCCCTATAAGCGCGTCTGTTACCTGATCCTACACTATGTCTGACCCATAACCATGAAGCCCTTCTTCCATGAAGGTGGCTTCTGTCTTCTTTTCATTATCAAACTTCTGACAGAATGGTGGATATTCGTCACCTTTATTTTTCTGCCACCGGGTCATTTGTTAACTTTTGTCAATCTGGCTAGCCTGTAATCACTTTAATATATACTCCACCTTGGAGAGCTTCTTTATCTACTGTCATACAACTCCACTGCAGGTGCAGAAACGTTGAACCTTCCTACAGACAGAGCAAGATTCAAACTCTTGTTTGCCTGGCAATCAAGGCCCTCCACAGCCTCGACGCAGCTGACTTTATCTCACATTCCTGGACCCCGACCCACTCCGTCCACTCTAGCCCGACTGTATCCTTTGCCATTGCTCAAACTCTTCCTGCCCTGTCCCTCCACTGCACATTTATTGTTGGGGTTCCCTCTACCCTTTCCTCATCTGTGTGTTTCAGGAGTGTCCTGGAAGAGACTGTAGGGCCCATGCATATCTGGTTGTCCTCTCCATTTGGGCACATGGGAGACTTACTCTCCCTTGCCCCTTTGCAGTTAGGCAGGGTATTACCAAGGCTTTGTTGTCTGGTTGAAGACCTTTGGGCTGTCTCTTCCCTGCCCCAGGGACCGAGAAGGCAGCATGTTCTAGAAGTGCTTCTGTCTTTTCTTTTCTTGAGTGTCATTTTGGAGAATCTCAGCTGTAAAAACTTTAGTCCACACTGTCCTGGAAGGTCAAACCTGGAAGTGATAGAAAGGTCTTGACAGCTTTGTCCCTGTCTTTCTAAGAAAGGGGTTGTGCACAACATAGGAAGAACGGGCACTGGGGCCAGCCTGAACCCAGTAGCTGAGGCCTTATCTGCCTCTGTAGAGCCAGTGAGGAATCCATGAATTGTAAATATTAAATTTACACTGAGAAGCATGAGTCCCTGAATCGTAAGTGCTTCTTGCATTTAAAGCAGGTAATGTTTGAGGCTATTGCATGAGGGTCCTTATGATGAGCTGTACACAGAACCTAGAATTATTTTAACTTTTAACTTTTTTTTTTTTTACCATTGTCTACTAGTTTTTAACGTTTTATCAGTTTAAGTGAAGCATAGAAAACTTATCTCTGTTTAAATTCCTTTACTCACCTCCATTTTAATATAATTGTCTCAAATATCTTCTACACATATACTGAGAACCGATCAGACAGTGTTATACTTCTTGTATCACCCATGAAACATAATTTAGAAAACACAGGAAGAGAAAGAAATTTATTTAAATTATTCATATATTAATCTTTTATTATATTTTTTTCCTGTCTGATGTTCCAAGTTTCCTTATTTTATAGTTTCGTTTGTGTTCAGAGAACTTTCTTTAATCATCATTTTAGGTAGGTTTGCTGGCAACCACATCTTTTAAGTTGCCTTCGTCTGAGAATATCTTGATTTCTCTTTGATTTTCTGAAGGATATTTTCACAGGGTCTATAAATCTGCGTTGACAGTTTTTATCTTTTAGCATTTGGAAACTATTGTATTACTTCCTATTGGTTTCCATGGTTTACAGTGACAGACCTGCCATCATTTAAATTGTTTTCTTCTGTTGGTAAGGTGTCATGTCTCTCTTGCTGCTCTCATAATTTTTTTTGTTGTACTTTAGGTTCTGGGGTACATGTGCAAATCATGCAGGATTGTTGCATAAGTACACACATGGCAATGTGATTTGCTGCCTCCATCCCCCTGTCACCTGTATCTGGAATTTCTCCCCATGTTATCCCTCCCCAACCTCTCCACCCACTGCTGTCCCTCCCCAACCCCGTCAACAGACCCCAGTGTGTGATGCTCCCCTCCCTGTGTCCATGTGTTCTCATTGTTTAACACCCACTTATGAGTAAGAACATACAGTGTTTGATTTTCCGTTCTTGTGTCAGTTTGCTGAGAATTATGGTTTCCAGATTCATCCATGTCCCTACTAAGGACACGAATTCATCGTTTTTTATGGCTACATAGTATTCCATGGTATATATGTGCCACATTTTCCTTGTCCAGTCTATCATCGATGGGCATTTGGGTTGGTTCCAAGTCTTTGCTATTGTAAACAGTGCCACAATGAACATATGTGTGCATGTGTCTTTATAACAGAATGATTTATAATCCTTTGGGTATATACCCAGTAATGGAATTATGGGGTCAAATGGAATTTCTATTTCTAGATCCTTGAGGAATCGCCACACTGTCTTCCACAATGGTTGAACTAATTTACACTCCCATCAACAGTGTAAAAGAATTCCTATTTCTCTACATCCTCTCCAGCATCTGTTGTCTCCAGATTTTTTAATGATCGCCATTCTAACTGGCGTGAGATGGTATCTCAATGTGGTTTTGATTTGCATTTCTCCAATGACCAGTGATGATGAGCTTTTTTCATATGTTTGTTGGCTGTGTAATCAAATCATCTCATGTACCCCCAAAATATATACATCTACTAGGTACCCAGAAAAATAAAACATAAAAAGTTAAAAACCCTTGTCAGTTAATTCTAACATCTTTTTCCTCTTGATGTTGGAATTTGTTGATTGCCTTTTCTCATGTAAGTTGAGATTTTATGAAGAGCAATTTTTGATCGAAACCTGGACGTTGGGATATTATGTTATAAAATTCAGGTTATTATTTAATCTTCTGTTCTAGCTGGTCTCCTCTGACACTGTTTTGGTAGGGGAAGGGGATGCTGCTTCATTCCTAACAGGTGGGAGTGGAAATACAGGTTCTCTCCACTTTGCCTCTGGGGACACCCAAGGGGAGAGCTCCTCATCACTGCTGGGAGGGGAGATTTTAGACTCCTTACCTGGCCTCTGCAGATACCACCCTGGCCAGGAGGGGCAGAAATATCTTGATATTGCTTCCATGCAGATTCCACTGACACTGCATGGGGAGTGGCCTTGGTACTGCTGGGGGAGGGAAAAAGTCCTGGCTGTCCAGCAGGCCTCCTGTGACACTAGCCCTAGAGAAGAAGAGAAGAGCCTCACTGCAGCCTGCAGAGGTAAGTCTAGGCTGCCTGTGTGGTCTCCACTGACACCGTGATGGTGGTGGTGGTGGGAGGGGGGTGCTTCCACATCTCATAGCAGGAATGAAAGTCCTGGATCTTTCACTTAGCTTCCCTTACTCCACCCCAGTGGGGAAGTTTGAGTGCCTCGTGATAGCCTGGGAAGGGCAGAAGTCTGGACTCGCTACCTGGCCTTTCCTGGTGTGGATAGGGGTGGGCAAAATGACATTTTCTGTGGTGTTTGGCTGAGTTGAGTGGTTATTTTCTAAAGGTTTTCTGTCTTTCCAGGCTGCCTCTTTTCTGGTTCTTTAGCTAAGCAGAGCAAGCTTTTCTTGTTTGTTTATTTGTTTTGTCTGCACCTGTTGGTGTTTCTGGTTATTGGTTTCTCCAGCTCCCACTTTGGGATATATGAGAGAAAAAGATAATCCAGGGAGCCCACCACAGTGTCACTCCTGGGGTCTCAACATCTTTAGGTGGTTTGGCTTCTTCTTCTACCTTTCAGAGTCTTCTTATGTCTATTTGATATGTAGTTTCCAGCATTTTTAGGTAGACTTAGAAGGAGGAATATGGAAATATACACCCACTTCATCATTCTGGAAGTTCTCTACTTTGATTTTTAAATGCATGAGAATAATTATTCTTATAACCTAAATATCCAATAACAGACCAATGCACCTTATGGTATATTATGCAACCAGTAAAATGATGGCCACAATACAATATTACATTTTTATTAAAATTAAAAATGTTCAGATGACATAAATGAAAGATTACACAACTGTGTGCATATGTAAGTATGATTATAGCTATGTGAAAAAACGAAAATATTGACAATGGCTGTTTGGAAGATGAAATCATAAGTGACCTTTTCCCTTTTAATGAGCCAAAATTTTAAAAAAGAGAATCTAGTACTTTTATAATCAAAAAATAAATTTTATCACATTTTATTCCTAGATTTTCTCTCAGAAAGATACATACAACTATCTTCTAAGATATATGACATTTTGCATGGGTTCATTAATTTATTTGTATCTGAGGGGTTAAAAAATGTTTTCAGCCTTGGTTTATGTACATTGAAACTATGGTTATGGGTTTAGATGATTCCCTTTCCATGAATATTCCATCAACAGCAATCAGCCACAGAGCTATACTTACCATGCTACAGGAATAAAACACTTTTTATCTGGAGATCTGCAAGAATGCTTTATGGGCTCCCAGCATACCACACATAAGCCAGGAGGAGAGGAAATGGTATAGCAGAGGATGCCTGGAGGGCAATTCCAGGATATGAAAGCCCCCTGGACTTGTGCTTCCAGTTCGGGCGTCCCTGCTTGAAGCCCCATCTCCTTTCCAGGACGCTGCTGGCTTTGGTTCCTCCACCTGCTGTCCTTCACATTCACAAACAGCAGTTTTCAACTGTGCAGATTACATAGGCTGAGCATGGCTCGCAAGCGTCGCTCGGTGTGCATGTGGTCGAACATGTGTTACAGGAAAGCCTGGGGGGAAATTGATTTTAAACTAAGCTTAACAAGGGAATCTTGATAAAATGGCAACTCAGAAAAACCATGTCAAAATTTGCCCTATAAATGACGTTCTGAAAAAACTCTGCACAATAGCATCAACAGAAGCCTATTTCTTCTTCACACCCAGAATTGCCACTTCATGTTCACTGCAGCAGTGGCAGTGAATAGCCTTTTATCTTTTTTCTTGATTTTGCAAATGTTATCTTAGGGCTATTCCTGATTTTCTGTCAGTGGAAAACAGGAACAAAGGGAGGTGCCAGCATGACATGTTACGCTAATAATTAATCTGCCTTTAGAATATTTTAAAAATATTTCTCGTGTCATGCACTTAGCCTCAGCTACTTTTCAGCACTCTTTTAAGAAGATCCCTGAACATGGAATGTTTCTCCATCTGTTTGTGTCCTCTCTTATTTCGTTGAGCAGTGGCTTGTAGTTCTCCTTGAAGAGGTCCTTTACATTCCTTGTTAGTTGTATTCCTAGGTATTTTATTCTCTTTGTGGCATTTGTGAATGGAAGTTTGTTCTTGATTTGGCTCTCTTTAAGTCTGTTATTGGTGTATAGGATGCATGTGATTTTTGCACATTGATTTTGTATCCTGAGACTGGGTGGGAAGCTGGGGAGAGATAGCAAGGGGAGAAATGCCAGATGTAGGTGATGGGGAGGAAGGCAGCAAATCACACTGCCACGTGTGTTCCTATGCAACAATTTTGCATGTTCTTCACATGTACCCCAAAACCTAAAATGCAATAAAATAAATAAATGGGGGAAAAAAAAAAAAAGAAGATCCCTGAACACATTAGGGAGGTTTGAACTGGGCCAGATGTTGGGGAAACAGGATTCTCTTACATCAGCGTCTCTGAGACTCTGGGGGGTTTAATGAGTAACTGTGGAACTTGCCTGCTGTCCTCACTGTCCAGCAGGCCCCGGTATGTGTTGATTTCACCCTCCAGCCGGGCCTTCACATCCAGCAGCACTTGGTACTCCTGGTTCTGTCTCTCCAGGTCACAGCGGATCTCAGCCAGCTGGTTCTCCACGTTATCGATCAGGCACTGAATCTGGTCCAGCTGGGAGCTGTACTGGGCCTCAGTTTCTGCCACGGTACATTCCAGAGATTCTGTCTGCAGGAGGAAACATTGTCCAAAGGACCATGAAGTGCAGTCTCTGGGGCCAGAGTCTTCTGCCTCCCAGATTCAAGCAATTCTCCTGCCTCGGCCTCCCGAGTAGCTGGGACTACAGGTTCCTGCCACCACGCCCAGCTAATTTTTTTTGTATTTTAGGGGGTTTCACCATGTTGCCCAGGCTGGTCTCAAACTCCTGAGCTCAGGCAATCCACCTGCCTCAGCCTCCCAAAGTGCTAGGATTACAGGTGTGAGCCACCGTGCCCAGCCACCAGACTTTCAAATCCTTGCTCTACCCTTTTCTACCTATGTGACTACTGGAAAATTATTTACCTTCTACGAGCCTCAGTTTTATTCTCTATATTGGGGAATGCAAAGTATTTGTCTCATTAGGGGGTTGTGAAGATTAAGAGTTAGCATGTGTGAAGCACTTAGGACAGTGCCAACAGTACTACCACTGTTCTACATGTCAGCTCTTACTACCACCACTATGACTACAGCAATCCATGACATATTTGTGAAGCTTAAGGACTATCAACAGCATTTTAAAGGAAACATTGAGTTTGTGCTCTTGGCAGGGACGGGTAGAATAGTGCTGTTAAGAGAAGAGGCTCTCGGTACCAGAGGCTGGGAAGGGTATATGTGGGGTAAGGGGATGAAGAGAGGTTGGTTAATGGGTACAAACACAGAGTTAGAGAGAAGGAATACGTTTTCATGTTGGACAGCAGAGAAGGGTGACTACAGTTAACAACAATACACTGGGTATTGTTAGAAGACTCGAAATGTTCCCAACACATAGAATTAATAAATACTGAAGGTGATGGTTGCCCTAAATATCTTGATTGATCATTACACATTTTATGCATCTAACAAAATATTACATGTATTCCATAAATATTTATGAATATTATATATCAATAAAAAATAAACATAAAAAGAGAGAGAGAAGAGACTCTGGGATTCGTCTGGCTGAACTCAGCTTCCATGTTTACCTCTTAGAATTGCATCCTTTGCAAGTTCCTTAATCTGAGTCTCAGTTTTCCTTATCTGTGTTATGGGATAAAGGTATCTCTCCCATAAAGTTATTGTGAGGCTTAAATGAGCATGGTGCCTCTCACAGGATGAATGCTCAGCTGTCATTCTTCTGGGTACTCTCTGCAGGACCTAATGAAATGCACACAGTGGTGCTTGACCAAAACTGGTGAATGTAATCTTGAACGCATGGTGTTCTTGTTGCTTGAGTGGAGTGGGTGGCAGTGAAGTGTCAGGTTGAAGTAGATCCTGGGAAACAGTAGGATGAAACGTTTGAAATGATTCTTTGTTTTAGATATGACAGTGAGCCTGGAAAACTGGCCTGAATCAAATGAGAATTTAAACCTGCTGGAATGCTTAAGTGACCTTAGCCTGGAGGTCTCTCTCTCGCTCTGCTTCTCCCTCCCTGTCTCTGGAAGCTGCTGAAGCATCAGACTTAAGCCCAGGAGTGAAGGCCAGGCATCTTAGAGAGCAATACAAGCTGTCGACCTGCCACTTCTGCTTCTATTAATAGCTGGGTAAATGGTAGTACTTGGGAAAGGCAAGGACATGTGATCCCTGGATATGGAAGAGGGCTTAACATCTCAGGGCCTGACTTATCAGTGACACAACAGACACTGCCTTTGCCTCACGCACCAGACTTTGCTGTGCTTGGAGCTCAATTTCCAGAGCATTGGCTGTGCGTTTCAGTTCCAAGATCTCCATCTGGCAGCCCTGCAGCTGCTCCGTGCTGGACAGTTGCTGCTGATTCAGCTCTTCTGTCTGAAACACAGGTACTATTAGAGAATTCAAAAAAGGCAGAAGTCTGTTAGCCTGCCATTTTTTTGATCTGGGTGCTGACCTGAACAGCGAACCATTCTTCTGCTTCTCTGCGATTGTTGGCGAGCACCGTTTCATACTGACAGCGCATCTCATCCAGGACCCTGTTGAGGTCAAGGGTGGGGGCAGTATCTAGCTCCACACTGAGGCGGTCGCCAAGCTGTCCACGAAGCAAGTTGACTTCCTGAAAGTGGAATGTCGTAAAGAATGTCACAGAATGGTGAATAAAAAATTCATTTGACATCCGATGGCGTTCTACTTCTGTTTTTTGGAGTAGTGGGTAAAAGTGTGAGATTTTGATTCAGATTGCCTGGGCTGAATTTCTTTTCACCACTTACAAGCGTCTCAGTTTCTTCATCTGTAAAATGGGCATAATAATTGGACATTTCTCCCGAAGGTTATTGTGAGATCTAGAAGAGTTAATCTACATATAATTAACTTATGAAAGTCCTGGCACATAGTAAGTTCTCGATAAATGTTAGCTATGATTGCCATCAACAGATGTTCAAAGAGCGAGTGTAATTTGTTGCATCATTCAGCTTTTCATTTTCTAGCTTTATTAATATATCAATTGCTTTATATTTTATGATTTTTAAAAGTTTATAAATGTGGAATATTTAAAAACACCAGTCCAGATAGTGTATGAGTCTTTATCCCTTTTCAAAATGGCCTTCACAGTGTGTTTCTCAACCTTATTTTTATACCCTGTGGATTGGAGTTAGGGGTGGCATAAAGCGTCAAGAAAAGCCATTTGTGGAGTTATTCACCTTCTCCACAAAGGCAAGGGCAGGAGAAGCGTTTGATTTCTTCGTCTGGCACTGGCCAGGGGCTATTTCACATCTTAACTCAGAGACACACTGGAATGATCAGGCTGAACAGCAATAATGCCTCTGGTAATTTGAGTCCAGCTTAAGCACCATCTGCCCTAGTTCAATTCACAAACATCAACAGATCATCTGTTAGTGTAACTATGTCACCCTTGGAGTCCTTCAACGGAGTTGCCACTTTCCTTACCTCTTCATGGGTTTTCTTAAGGCAAAGGAGATCTTCCTTCAGAGACTCCACATGGGCCTCCAGGTTGGATTTGCACAAGGTCAGCTCACCCAGGATCCCACGCAGGCCGCTGATGTCAGCCTCCAACAGCTGGCGAAGGGACAGTTCACTGTCGTACCTTTCACAGCAAAAGAGAAATCCAGTGCTTACTCTGTTGAATGCTGTGCAAAGTGTGGGGATACATGGAGAATCGACATATGGACTTCAGGAAGCCACATGCAGAATTTCTCTTAATTCCTGAGAAATGATAAATTCAAGCTTTTAAGACATTCTTAACTTTAAGATATTATATAGAGAATATTTGTGTGTGTGTGAGAGAGAGAGGGCGAGAGAAAGAGAGAAGGGGGGGAGAGAGAGAGCCATAAATTGTTTTCAAAATAAAATTAAACCTGGGCACAGTGGCTCATGCCTGTAATCCCAGCACTTTGGGAGGCCAAGGCGGGCGGATCACCTGAGGTCAGGAGTTTGAGACCATTTGGCCAGCATGGTGAAACCTCTTCTCTACTAAAAATACAAAAATTAGCTGGGCATGGAAGCACATGCCTGCCTGTAATCTCAGCTACCTGGGAGACTGAGGCAGGAGACTCGCTTGAACCCCGGAGGTGGAGGTTGCAGTGAGCCAAGATAGTCCCACTGCACTCCAGCCTGGGCGACAAAAGTGAAGCTCCATCTAAAAATAAATAAATTAAATTAAACTTACTTTGACTTAAAATCCTCAGTGGCCAGTTTGCAGTTGTCAAGCTGTACAGCAAGTCTAGAATTCTCTGCCTTCGTGCATAGGATCTGGGAAGAAAGTCCTTATTTAATAAATTATTCTTTGAGAGAAACCTGAATAAACTTCTATCCAACAGCTATGCCATTAGTTATCTTTTGAAAGTCTTTATAAGAAAGTATAAAATCGCCTTCAGCCTGCTTTCCTTATTAAACGTGTCACTTCATGAAGAAAACAAGCAGTGCCAATTTAGAAACAAAATAGAGAAATAAAAGGTTTTCTTTTCTTCATAACATAAGACATTTTGCACTATTCCTAGGCAGTTGAACGCTATTAACATTTTCCTCCATCAGTAGTTTGTATTATGACTATATCCTCTCCCATAATCATGGAAATTCATCAGGGAGAGAAGAAAATGGCTAGGTGGTTAAAAAGATGGCATTTCACGATCTGTGCTCAGATAATATAAATGTTCAGTGTCACATACAAAAGCGATTTTGGATGTAATACAGTCTTTTTGCATTCTATAGATGATGAAGGAAAAGTCTACAGACAAGTTACTTTGTTATAGTTACTCAGTAATCAGGGGTAGCTCTGGGGCTGGGGCTGAGGTTTCCTGACTTCTAGTACAGTGCTCTTCCCTATGTACCATTAACTCTTAGAACTCTCCTTTCTCTTGGTTTCCTTCCGTAAAACAGCCCCTTTTAGTAGAATGATAAAGCAAACCATAGATCGGGAAGCTGGAGCACTAGGGCAACAGGACATGCACCTTTTGTTGGAGATCTTCAATGGTATTGAAGTAACACTGATAATCGGGGCACACCAGTGGGATATCCTGTTCACATTGCTCTTGGATCCTGGATTCCAGCTCTGCATTGGTCTCCTCCAGGCTGCGCACCTTCTCCAGATAGTTGGCGAGTCTGTCATTCAGGAACTGCATCGTCTCCTTCTCATTGCTAGTGAACACTCCATCCTCACACCAGGCACAGTTCCCCACCAAGCAGGGACTACTACAACTCCCAGTAAAGTAGCATGGCAGGAGGCAACCGGTCAGCCCGAGAGACCTGGAGAGGAAGCTAGGGGTCTGACATCGGGATGCACCACAGGAACCAGGGAGACAAGCTGTCTCCATGGAACAGCTTGAGGCAGGTGCACAACAGGAAGCCCTGGTACAGGACTCAGGAGAGCAGGGCATGGAGGAGCAGTCAGAAGACATCCTTCTAGAGGCAAAGACAGAGACTGGCTGCAAAACACCAGTTGCCTTGACTCCAAAACGCTCCTTCCCTCCTGAGAGTTTTATATAGCCCCCCCTCAAAATGGGTGTTTACAGACTACACCGGATGTTTTCTTATCATTGATGGTGCCAGTTTTTATACAAACATCTCATTAGAGTTGTTTATTTACTGAAGAAGAGTTGTATGCCTCATAAAAGAGGGATAACTTTAGGTTACCAAAGCAGGGTTCACACCATTTCCATGTGCAAGACAAAACACTTATTTCAGAAAATCGTCATAGGAAGCATCGTCCTTTTGACAGAATAAGAAAAGAAAGAGAACATTTGGCCAATCAATAATTATAGATACAACTCATTACAAATCAGGAAATTAATATTGCCACAGATTTTGATTCTGTGCATTGATTGCTTGTGTCTTCTTTAAAATTAGTCTTACAGCTCATAAAAGGATATTCATTTGTTTGTGCCACCACTATAAAAATGGTCAGCGTGGTTAGCAATCTTCCAGTGCTTTTTGTGATCTTAGAGCATGTGCTGACAGGACTGGAGGAGTGAGGTATATACTGGATTTAAAGAGAGAGAGAGAGAGAGAGAGAGAAAGAGAGAGAGTGTGTGTGTGTGTGTGTGTGTATACAAACCATGTCTACCTGAATACAAATGGAAAAGTCTCTTTACACAACTGATAGGAATAACTTGTTTCCTGTAAGTTAAAATATAAATTGGTTAGAGCTGGAATTACGATCTTTGACTTCCTGAAACTTGCCTTCTCCACATTTCTTATTTTTAGATAAGTTATGCTATTTTACCTGTATTCCTAATAAGAGTGAAATATAAAATTCTAAGTTATAAACTTTTAGTCCCTTGGGAATTCCTCAGTGATTATACTTCAGAAAAGAGGTGAGGAACCCACAGGAGTCTTTGCTTCTGAGACATATAAAAATACTGGAACTTGGGAAATAAATTCTATTCAGGTTCCAAATGAGTAATTCCACTGGATGGAATCTCTGATGCCAAATCTGACAGATAGGAACTTGAGATGTGTGACTTTTTTGGATTCTCTCTTGAATTTCACCTCCGTTATGAAGTATAATCTATTCCACTTTGCTTGGCTTTAGTCGTGACATGTATTTCATTTTCAAAGGTGCACAGAGAAAATTGCCTCTAGAACTTTTAAGAACATTATAGAAAAAAAACACATTAATCTGAAAAAGTTAAAAAATTTATGATTCAGAATAAACTTATTTCTTCGTCTAAACTTGAGTGCTGCTTCCTAGGTAGCTGATAACAGAAACCAAACCAAACCAAACCAGAAGAACATATGTAAGTGAGTTAAAATAGTCTCTTAGGAATTATTACTCCCTGGGCAGAGTTGAGTTTGAATTTAGTGATTCTCTTTACACATCAACACTTATGCGAAAAGTTTTTAGAGTGCTTCATGGTATGTTGATGCTGCTTTGCAGCAAACATGAGTTCAAGGATTCAAAAACACTTTTGAAAAATCACAACTCTCTGAAAGAAAATTATCTTTTCATAGTAACCTAATGAGTCAAAAGAAAAATATCTTTGAAGAAAACCCATGTTTTGGTTGTCCATCACAGGTTCCAGTTAGCTAAAATGCAGTAATGTAACTGCAGGTAAAATGGAAAATATTTCCTTTTGTCTTACACTAATTCTAATTGTAAAGTGTTGGTTACTGGTTATTGTCCTGCAGGGTAGGACTATTTATGTTAGTCTTGATGAATTAGATAATGTTGTATAATGATCTATAGCTGTAGTCTCCATTGTATAATATGGAAATTGCCCAGAATTCATTTCTGTGATGCCCTCCTTAGGGAAAAGAAGTCAGGCTGGCAGGACCACAGGAAAGCAAAAATAAACAAACAAACAAAAACACAAAAAGAAAGCAGATAAGCTATAAGACTCACCTACCTTCTTCATGGTCCAGGACACATAGCCCATAGCCCTCCTGCACAAATAACTCACAATCCTCCTTCACCCAGCTATCACCAGACTTTCAGCTGATAGAAAAATGCAAGTTAACTCACTGCAGCCTTAGTGTTATCAGTACTGCACAAAGCCTCTTCAGCACACAGCACAAGCACCATCCTGTAAAATCTCCAGCACGCCTTCGTCTCCTTAAAGACAGCTCCTTCTCTGCTGTGCTGCCTGTTGCTCCCTTGCAACCTATTTTCACACCTTGTCTAATAAACTTGCCCTTCATGACCTACAACTGTCTTGATAAATTCTTCTTACCCCCATGCCACCATCCCCAGATAGTCGCTAATCACCCATGACAATTTCTATAGCACATTATCATCAGTTGAAAGAAACATTGGGAATAGAGAAAAAGCAATAGACATCATGAAAGGCCATGATTTAAAAAAATAAAAGAATAACAAAGTAGTTTATTTCATATAATAATATGCTCTTATCTTACAACATCCACCTAGCATCATTTTCTTAAAATACAGACCTGTTTTCTTCACTTTGCACTTATGGAGTGCAGACTTTTTGCTTTGGCAAATATGACCTTCCTAACCTGGTGCCAATTTACCTTTCTAGGCTCCCTTCCTGGTGTTCTCTCTCACAAACTCCAAGCTCCAGTCATCCTGCAAGCTTTGTAGGTACTGATTTCTTGGTCAAATCCTCTTCTGCCATTCCTTTCCTGGATGAACTCACATGTGAAGACTCAGCTGAAAGGTCATTCAACTGCCTCATGTTGAGATGGGCTCCTCCCAGAGCACTTTGCACGCATCTCCACTGTAGCAGTTGTCTTGCTGCTTTTAACATTTGTGCGTCAGGTTATAAGCGTTTACATGAGGCTTGAAGAACTTTGACTCAGGGCCAGGGCTAGTATCTACGTGCAGCAACATGCTTGATTTTTACTGTTTTGGACAACAACCTAAATAACTTTAACAGTGCCTGGGAATGTTCAAGGCCCGGCTCGGGTTCAGGCTGCAGGGGAAACACGCAGCTGGCTGGGCCACAAGGGTGGTCAAGGCACTCTGTGTTTCCCAAGGCAAAGAAAGAAGTGGGGATGAACTGGGGGACCCTGCAATATGATCAATCATATTGAATGACTTGGTCACTCTACATTATCATTTATCTAAGTTGCTTTATTCAATTAGTTGATAGAATTAGCAAACTGATTTTCTCCTCGCATCTATGTTCATGAGAAATATTGCCTGCAATTTTCTGTTCTTGTAATGGCCTTGTTAGGTTTTGGTATCAAGGTTATATACTGAGTTCATGATATGGTTTGGCTCTGTGTGCCCACCCAGATCTCACCTCAAATTGTAATCCCCAAATCCCCATGTGTTGGGATAGGGACCTGGTGGGAGATGATTGGATCCTGGGGGCAGTTTCCCCTATGCTGTTCTTGTGATAATGAGTTATCAGGAGATCTAATGGTTTTGCAAATGTTTGAAAGTTCCTCCTTCAAATGCTCTCTCTCATCTGCCCCCATGTTAGACATGCCTGCTTCCCCTTCCACCATTATTGTAAGCTTCCTGAGCCATGTGGAACTGTGACTTAATGACACCTCCTTCCTTTATAAATTATCCAGTCTCAGGTATCTCTTTATAACAGTGTGAGAACGAAGTAATACATTTCATAAATTAAATTGGGAAATGTTTCCTCTTTATTTCATGAGATTCTATAAGATTAGTGTTATTTCTTCCTTAAATGTTTGATGGAGTTCAGTGAAGCCATCTCTTCCAGGAGTCACCCATGTGAAAAAGTTGTGTTTTTTTTTTAACTAAAAAAAAAAAAAAAAAGTCTTGGCATGGTGGCTCAAGCCGGTAATCCCAGCACTTTGGGAGGCCCAGGTAGGCAGGTCATTTAAGGGCAGGAGGTTGAGACCAGCCTGGCTAATATGGCGAAACCCTGTCTCTACTAAAAATACAAAAATTAGCTGGGCATAGTGGCAAACACCTGTAGTCCTAGTTATTCCAGAGGCTGAGGCATGAGAATTGCTGGAACCTGGGAGGCAGAGGTTGCAGTAAGCTGAGATCACATCATTGCATTCCAGCTTGGGTGAGAGACAGACTTCAATAAATATATATATACATGCATGTATATATAATTATCAAATTGCTTACCTCTACATATAGGAAGCCTCACAATGCTATTCAGTTGTTCTATTTCATTTTGTGTGAAAGTTGCATTTTTTCAAGGAGTTTGTTCACTTCACCTAAGTTGCAAAAATACTGAAATACCGTTGTTCATAATAATCCTATTATGCTTTTTAGTCTCTGTAGTGTCTACATAAGACACTATTTAATCCCAGATATTGGTAATTTGTGTTTTATCTCATACTTCCCCCATCAATCTGGCTAGATGTTCATCAGATTAATACTAATGTGTTGCATATTTCAAAGCTGCTAAAAGAGTAGATTTTTGATGTTCTAACCATAAAACAATGGTAAGGTGGTTAGGTGATGGATATGTTAATTAGCTTGATTTACTCTTTCCACAGTGTATATATAAATCAAAACATTACATTGTACCCCACAAATATACATATACACAATTATTATTTGCTAAATAAAAAATAACTAAATAGAAGTTCTTTATGAATCCTTTCAAAGAATCAAATTTTAGCTTCATTAATTTCCTCAGTTGTTTTCTATTTCATTGATTCCTGATATTATGTTATTACCGATTTCTTACTACTTACTTTAAATTTTAATTGTTCTTTTTCTATCTAGTTAAACTGAAAACTTAAATGATTGATGAAGATGTAAACGAAGGTGATAAAGATGAAAATCTTATTTTCTAATATAATCATTTGCTGTATGTTTTCTACTAATCCAATGCTATATGTATCCCATAAATTGTTTAGAGCTTGTGTTTCCATTAACATTTAGCTCATAATATTTGTTAAGTTTTATTGATATGTATTATTTGATCCATAGGTTATTAGAACTGTGTTTGTTTAATATTCAAATATTTGGTGATTTTTCTAAGTATCTTATTGATTTCTCATTTAATTCCATTGTGATCAACATATTTTGTTGTATTT